GTATACTTTTCATTGGATTTTTTCAGATGAGTGTAGTAAAGAAAATTGTTTTACAGCAGAAGGCTACTTACTAACAGAAAAGTTCTTTTTTTTTTTTTTCCTAGTGTAAACAGTATCATTGTTGTAGTCTATTTAAATAAGCTGCTGCAGTTTTGCATGAATTTCTGTTTTCCGAAAGAATAAAAGGGGGGTGAGGAAAAAAAGGCTGGTATTATGGTAAGATGTTATGTCAGTACTAAGACACAGGGTTTTATTATCTACTATTTTCCATGACTCTTTGTCTTTGTCTTTTTTTTTCTTTTTGGAAGATATTGACAATCTTTCTCCACCTTATCAACTGCTGTGCAACTGAATTAAAAAATGTTTGGGATAGTGAAGAACATGTGCCAGAGGAGAGATAAACTACTTGAAGTGTCTTCTGTGGCACTCTAAGGGCTGCCACTTCAAACAAAAGCAATGTAGCAGCTGTAGGTATTTCCTTAGTTCAGATCAAGTGTGACAGTCACCGTGAGTTGCAGACACCTCAGCCTTTCCCACAAAACCAGTAACAGCTATCAGCCCACTGGAGTGGGGCTGGCATAAAGATCTGAACATGACTCTGAGCAATTTCCTACTTTTTGCTTCCTCAACAAGCAGTATTTTTACCATTCCCATGACTTCTACCTCCTCTCTTCTTTCTTACATGTTCAAAGTGATTGGGACCCACAAAACTGAAGCCAGCTTTGTTATCAGAATAGGATCAAGGCATATTTTTCAATGTACCCGTGACTCTTCAAACTGCTGATTATTCCTTCCTCACACGACTTAAGTATCAGACTCTCCTACTGCCCAGAACCAGAGATGTGCAGGGTGTATAATATGAACTGATGCTTTTTGCTAAAACTAGACTATATTCAGTGTAGCATTATTGATGCTATATAGCCTTTGGGTCCAAGTGCCAAACTGTATTTTTGGCTTAATTTCAAGGACAAAGGACAAATTTAAGCTTGGTGTTGAACAGTGAAGTGAACAATCCTCTCTCTGCTTTCTCCTGTGACATTTTTTATATGGCCCAGGTGACCCACAGATCTGGAACACAAATTAATGTTTCTTATTGTGCAATGAAAAAGGCAGCTTCCTCTACTCTGACCTGTCTGCAGTAGAAAGAAGACATGCAAATATTAAATCCCTCAATGTTGTGGGTAGCCATTTCCTCATGCACTGTTCCCCCTTCAAATTAGAGCTTTTTCTCTGAAGCATCTAGTTGCTTTCTGCTCACCAGCAAGGTCATAATGAGCAGCCATAAAAACAAACTCACAGACTGCATCTGGTCTTCCTTTTGCACAGCTTGTAGATACTCTCTCCTTCTTGAGAGCAGTCATAGTTTAAGGTCAGAACATTCTCCTGAAATGGATTTCATTACCAACAGTTCTTTCAAAATCCTTAAAATTCTGAGATGCTGTTCTAGCCAATACCAACCTTCACAGACCAACAGTTTTCTTCTCTGAAAAAGAAATGCAATCACATAATGCTCTTTTCTATGCTGAAAATATACAGTAGGGTTTGGTCAAAAAAAACCTTAATCCACATCTTCTGTGGGTTTGAATAGTAGTCAAGAGTTAAGCAGAGAGGAACGTTCCTTCTGTTCTCCTACATTTACGCACAAACATTTGCTGAAATTACTCTGGCATGTTTACTAAAAAAGAGGCAACGTTTAAGGAAGCTCCTAAAGTCCTTGCCCACAGTGAGTATCTTCCTGATTCACAAGTAAATTCCACTCAAGTTTTCTGGGATTACTCACAAGGGATGATACAGGCCAAAGTGTGCAAAGCTGCATGTAGACTTTCACCACAGATCTGCTTGTCAGAAATCACCAGTGCTCTTGCAGCAACGTGACTTCTCTCAACAGAGATCGCACAGAACAACAGGGGCCTGATTCTTATTTCAGACAATGATTTAAAGCTGTGATCCTGTCAAATCTCCTATTTATAAGGCCCCTTCCATCTGCCTCAAGCCCTGAAGAGGCTAATTCTGCATTTCTCTCTCACGCAAAACTCCCACAGAGGTGGCAGAAGGACAGCAGCACTGAGTTCCCATCCTGGCTAAGTTACACTGTTCGATATTTCAGTACCCAACCAACAACAGCACGGTTCAGAAAATTGAAAATGAAACATCAGCTTCTCACTTAAGACTGACAGAAATTTTTCTTCATGGTGAAATGAGCAAATGAAGAGTTAAAGATCAGGTACTTGCTAAAATCGATATGGCTTAGTAGCAATATTTCGCTCTTCCACAACAGTAGAGAGTGAGTGTTTCAGCCAGTTTATCATATCTGATCAAAGAAATAACTCAGCACATTTTACACATATCTTCTCCCTTTTTCTTAAGCAAAAGCTGCATAGACTATTTTTCTCCTGGATATAATATTAGCCAGCTTACAGTTGAAGCACAACTACAGTGTGAATAGCAGAGCTGAGAACTTTTTATGAAAAGTTAACACCACATAATATGTTACAAATTCCAGTCTTCAGCTAAAACAAGTAATAAGAGAACACTGTATTTTAAAAAAGTAAATCAGCCAATTTTACTTGAAGTATATTCAGTAGTTACATTAAAAACAATTTTTATAGAAATCTTCTGTATTCACTGATTTAGAGGGAAATGCCCTTAAATGGGGTGTAAACTGCACATTTTTATTAATGAATATTACTTTTATTTAGCTTGGAAGAAATAAGACCCTCTTGAGGCATTGAATCCAGTGAGTAACTGTGACAAGAAAAATTGAAACCATAGAAATGCCCTGGTTTTAACTATGTTACTGATCATAGATATTCAGTATCTGCATCAATCTCTTTTAAACGTTAGCAAGTAATAAAAAAAACAAAAAAAAAACCAAACTCAAAAAACAAAAAAAAACCCAAAAAAACAAACCACTATTTCTTCAATATTCTAGAATATTTTTACTGTGAATAACTTAAGGCACATCAGTCATTCCATATATATTTTATGTCCACTAAAATCTGACAATTAAATTTAATTTCCATAAGACTACTTGAAAAAAAGGGGGAAGGGCTGTGTTTACAGGCCACAGAGCTCATTTCAGAAGCAGTGCAACAGTGAAACCGCTGTGAGTCTGCTGCAGCCTGGGAAACCCCTCTCAGGGAGCATTAAGTGACAAAAGCAGCCCCTGGTTTGGCAGGAACGAGAACCTCTAATGAGCTGTCCAGGAGCTCAGAGGTAGTAGCCAGGTACCATATGTTGCTTTGGTTGCTCTGGTGGTCATTTAGTTTCTTCAGAGTAAACAAACCTGAACGCTTTAGCTACATTGTTACCTGAAAATAATAAGAGCTAGTTTCAGCTCTTCTTGATGTAACTCTAATAAGAAGTCTTCATTTTGCAAAAGAGAAATGGCTTGTAATTTCCTCCTCTCAGTTGCTATTTTTCTCTCTCCTTTACAGGTATACACCTGTACCAAACCATTTCTTATTTAAACAATGCTCAAGTATTTTCACACTCTGAGACTTACTTCAAGAAAACATCCAATAAGTAATAGATTTAGGACTTTGAAAATATCTCAGTTGTTTACTTATCAAAATCCAGCAAACTTCTAATGCATTTGGTGAAATCATCTAATCCCTACTTCAGCAGAACTCCCACTTGAATTTGAGTTAAACTGTCTATTGAAGGAACAATCAGAACCTCAGCCACTGACAGTCTCCTTTTCCGGGGTTAAGTGAACCAAATACTTCTTATGAAAAGCTAATGAAACAAAGTGACTGCTCTCTCCTTTTTCCTTGTGCTACAGCGATTTCAAGAGAGGAGGCTACAGACACCTTTCAGACAGAACAGAGGGAATAAGAAAGGGAATATCTGATGATTCTTCAATATAGATTCAATTCAGCTGCTTTAAGAAACCTGTTATATGTGATTACATTTCATTCTTTTTTTTTTCCTCCAAGAACTGTTTGCTGTGGAAAGGTGCATTTGAGGCAGATGCCAAATCCTGCTGACTATGGAAGGAGCGATAAACACAGAAAGGAGCAGTATTTGCTCCACAACAGAACACACACCTTGCAGCAGCACAGCTGAAGAAGGGAGGTAAATGCTCAGCTCACTCTTACACTTGGTATGCATTCAGTGATGAACATACAGACACCAGTCCCTGTCTCTCATTTTCTTCATCACAGTTTATGATATTTTATAAGCCCACGGGAAATATGGATTGCTTTAATAACTTTTCAAACTATTTTCCCGTCTTCTGTCCCTCCTCCCAAGAAAATCCTCTAAAATCATAAATTAGAAATGCAAACAGGAGAAGGGAAAGCAAGCAACATTAACACCAAAGATTTGGAACAGCTGCACCTCCCTTTGGCATTTGTTCACATACACCGCTGACAACCTGCAATGCCTGTTTCTCATTAAAATATATATAAAGGATTTAGTTGCTCTAGGACTGTAAATATGAAGGATTAAAAGACCTTAATAGTGGAGTGATTGCTCTTCCTCTGAAAACCTGCATATCAGAATGCCTTCAACTGCATCTCTGAGAATGAGGAGCATGCATCCAGCCCTGAGATTAGCCTTTGAAGGGAGACTGAAAAAAAGGAGGAGGAAAAGTTCCTCTGGGCACATAGAAGTGGAAACTCAATTTATTATTTTTTTTTTTTTAATTTTATCTCAAAAAATATTAGGCAAGTTCACCAGAATGATTTTTTTTTTTTTTTTTTTTTTTCCACTATCTGCTCCAGGACAGCAAGGTCCTTAGGTCACTGATCTGAGAAGGATGGAGCAGGAATTTACTGCCTGGTGATCCAACAGGAGGAAATGAGGTCAATGGTATATGTGCTCTTTTTCATAGTTCATGAAAAAATGCAAGACTCCCAGTAAGACTAACCAAAAACTATTGGAAGATAGGAAAAATATTTCCCATCCAGATCTACAGTCAAAGACCCCTCCAAAGGAAAAGAAAACCCCATGCTTTGTTTGAATTCATCCCTTGTGCAAAATCATGATTCAGAAGGTTTTAACAGTACAAAGGTTTATTTAGAAAAGAGTTTGGATTGTTCTTTAGGGTTTTTTTGGCAAACATTTAAATCCTTTCATAACTCAAAACACTGTCAGTGCCTGGCACTTTGCACTCTCTTTCCCCACACAAGCAGTAAAAGCCAATTTCTTACTGGGACAAATCCACCATAGGCCCCAGCTGCCCTATTTATAAAATCCTCAAATCTCCACCACCAATGCCACTTAACCCTTTCCTTTTGATGTCTCTTTTTGTTTTCCCCCAAAATTCCAGAGCCCATGAAAGCTCACTGCTTCCCAAACTCTGTGTCTCAGCCTGCTTTCCTCTGCGGGCTCCCTGTGCCTTCTGTCAGGGTTCAAAGACAATCACTCCCTCCCGCTTTACCCCTCCACACTCCAGCACTGCGTCCCCAGCACCATGTCACCATTCTGGACCACAGCGAGTGCCCTCAGCCTGACACCATCCCTGTCCCCCACAGCATCACCCTGCTCCCTAAGCCCAAGCTTAGGGGGTGAGCCCTCTCCCCACTCCCTAAGCCCAAGCCCCATGTTCTCTTTCCTCCCTTCTTTTCCAGCACTGAGCCTTCTCTTTTAACTCTACTCCTGCTCAAGGCAAATCCATCCCTCCAGCTCAATGCCGGAAGTTCTTCTTTTTCTTCTTAAAAAGAATGTGTTTAAAGGACCTGCGGAAGTCCTGGTTGAAGATGGTGTAGATGACTGGGTTGAGGGAGCTATTGCAATACCCAATCCAGAAGAAGAACTTGAAGAGAGTCTCGGGGACCTCACATGCCTCCCGGCAAATACCATAGAGGCTGTAGCTGAAGAAAAAAGGGAACCAGCAAACTACAAAGACCCCCATGACCACAGCCAGCACAAAAGTGAAGCGTTTCTCCCGGGCCTGGGCAACTTTCTTACGGCAGATGCTGCTACGCTTCCGGCGACGGCGATAGGAGAAGAACTGCATGGAGCGATTGCTCGCACGGGACAGACGGCTACTGGAGTGCTTGGAGGAGTATGAGTAGGAGAAGGACTGGCTCTTGCTTTTGCGGCGATGCTCCTCCCGACTCCGCCTCCGCCTGCTCTCTGAGGTGCTGCTCTCCTCCAGCTCAATGTCCTCCAGCTCAGAGGCTTTGCGCCAGTGGTGCACTGAATAATGTCCGTTCTCTCCCAGCTGCATCCTCAGGGACGTGCAGCCACCAGCAGCACGGCTCAAGCCGTTCTCAGTCTGGGAGGACCCCTCGGGCATTGTACGCTTCTCAGAGAGGGTCCTGGTCCTTAGCTTGGCCACGCGGTAGATGCGGATATAGACCAACACCATGATGAGGCAGGGGGCAAAGAAAGAGCCAATGCAAGAAGAAAGGATGTACCATGTCTCGTCATTGAGCTTGCACTGGGGAAAAACATCTCCTTCGGGGTCCCGGTACACGGAGATCAATGGCGGGAAGGAGATGATGGCTGAAATGAGCCACACGGTGAGGATGATGGCCTTGATCCGCCGCGGTGTCCGTTTGAGGTTGTACTCCACCGCCTGTGTGACCGACCAATACCTGTCGAGGCTGATGGCGCACAGGTGGACGATAGACGAGGTACAGAACAGCACGTCCAGCGCCAGGTAAATGTTACACCAAGCCTTGCCGAAGTACCAGTAATTCATAAGCTCGTTGGCCAAGGAGAAAGGCATGACCAGGGTAGCCACCAGGATGTCCGCGCTGGCCAGGGACACCAGGAAGAGGTTCTGGGGGGCTCTCAGCGCCCGGCTGGTGAGCACAGCTATCACCACCAGCACGTTGCCCACGATGGTGAAGACGATGAGGAAGCCCACCACCGCCGCCAGGCTGGCCACGGCCGCCGGCGAGTAGGGGGAGGGCGGCTGCAGGAGGGCCGAGGAGGACGGCGAGGCGGGGGGCAGCGCCAGGGACTCGTTGGGGGAGCCCAGGCTCGTGTTCACCAACAGCAGCAGATCCATGGTGGGTGTGCGGGGCTCCGGCGTCCT